TTTATTTACATAAGTATTTTATATAATTTTTTTAATGTAATTTACAATATAAAATAAATAAAAATAAATAAAAATACTTAGATATAAATACAAATAAATATAAATTTAACTTAAAATACTTAGATATTTAATAAATATTATTAAGTACTAAAATAATTATATATAGTATTCTAAATATTATTAACTTAAACAAATATCCTGAAGATATTCGTATAAATGAGATTCCTGAAAAATCCTTGCATCGTATACAAATCCGGGATATCCAATGAACGCATCTAAAAATTTCATTTTGTGAAATTCCACTACATCTTGCATATGAATTGAAAAATATTGTTTCTTATTAATGTATTTTGATCTTGTGTTGGTTTATCAATTCGGATGTGCGTGTCATCCACAGCCTATACACAAATTTAATTTTAAGTTTGGCATACATATGTAATTTATACATGACGTTTGCACAAAAAAGTTATATAAAACACAAAAGTAAATTATACCAATAATTCCAGGAAACTGTTTTTCTCTAAGAAAATATGCCATTGTTTCTTCTTTTTCTTGTAATGTAGGAAATCTTATAATATGTGGAGCAAGCTGCATTAAAAAATTTGTTACCCTTGTTAAAAGTTCATACAGTGTACTAATTGTAATATCAAATCGATCCACTATGTCACGATATCTTGCGCTTTCGTGACCAAGATACCACAAGTAAGTTAAAATGTGTATGTTTTCTGGTGAAATTGATGCATATCCTGCATATTCTGCAATATATATTGAATGGATTTAAATAAATGTAATTACCATGTAACCAATTACTATGTAAACAATTTAAGAACTTAATTTAAATTACAATCTGTATTTTATTTATTATAAAAATAATTAATAATACATTTTATATTTACTATAAATAATAAAATACTTTGTAAAGACATAAAAATTGGCGATATTGTAAAACGACCAATGAGATTATAAACAACTGCATGAGATAAACGAAAATGCATTACAAAATCTTTTTCAATATAATTTCAGACTATAGTTTCTACGCTATGTTAACTTTAATATGATGAACACGTTATATAATACTAATCGCAAGAATTGTAGTATTTCATCATCTAAAAATTATAAACAAGAAAACAGAAATTATAATTATAATCATCAATTTAATAAATATATTAATATATTAATATATATTTAGTATATTTATTATTAGTAAATAGTAAATACTTTATTATTTAACAAGTAGAGCATTGATGTATATATTATTAATTTTTACATACCGTCATCGTATAATAATATGAACGGAGGTATTGGAGCTGATAAAATTATTTCGTCATCGTATATATCCATTGTTTCTAATATTTCAGTTCTAATATTTCAGCCATATTTTTCTCTAATATTTCCATGCGTTTATTTTTAATAGGTTTTATGCTACTTTAATGCACTTTTAATGTTTTGAGCTATTTCGTACAAATAACTAAATAAATTAGTACTTTTCATATTACTAGTATATCCAGATAATATAGACTTATCGCACTTGAATTCTAGTGATTCATAGTACTAGTAAACTAGTACTAGTAAACTAGTACTATGAATCACTAGAATTCAAGTGCGAAAAGTACATGCAACAAGAACAAACCTATTTTCAGATGCAAAAAGTATTCTTTGTATCTAAAGAAATTCTTTTTGCATCAGAAGAAAATGAATTCATTGGTGATAAAAAAATGAATTCTTTTTAAACTTTCTATATTATCTGGATATACTTTGTCTTTATTTACTACATACTAAATTATATATACTAAGTGAAATATTTATCTATTAAGTGGAAATTGTTCGGGTATTGCTACAGATGGATCATCGTATTCTTTACATTGGAATTATTTCAAATATAAGTATCATGAGTACTACCAGGATAATGTGCGTTTGTATTCATAATTTTTAGATGCAATCACAAATCTGTAATAAAATGCAATATATAACTGCAATACATTTACAAAATTTAAAAATTGAAATAGTTTATTGAATATATATTAAACATAATAAATAATATTAAAATTATTATTACTAATTAAGTATTAATTGAGTGATATCCTTTCCTGTTTACATATATATCATTACCTATTGAACCGCGCCTGCTCCTGCAAAATTTGTCATGCAATCAGACATACTGCTTAATATGTTGATGCAACACCCTGTACAGAATTATTATTTCCTGTCGGAGAAAAAATAGCAATATGGATACAATCGATACAACCTATTGTGCCAAGAAATTCAAATCTTCTGTAGAATCTAAAATAAAAGAAAATATTATTATTAATTATTATTATTAATATTATTATTATTTAAATATTATTAATATTATTATTAAATATATTATTTATTTACAAAAATTATAAAATATTATATATAAAAACATTAATTTACTATTTACAAAAATAGTATATACAAAAATTTACAAAATAATTGTATTGACGTTTCATTTTTATTCTCATATTATAGAAAATATCTAGTCAGCAAAATGTTAACCAAATGTTAGCAAACTGACAATAGATTTAATCAGAAAATGTTAGCAGACTGACTTCATCTGAGATCTCATTCTGCTTACATTCTATTGACAGAACCTGTTGACTTGATTCTATGTAGCAAATATTTATATGATTGTCTATTTCCCATTGCATTCATAATAAATGTAATAACAAGACAAGAAATTATAAGCCAATGGATCAAATTTCCTTTAACTTTTGCAAAAATAAATGAACTGCAAACACAATAACTACCCCGATAGCCAAATTTGAAAGGACAGATTATGTGCAAAGTCTGTTATAAATTTCTGATGTTAGAAAGCCAACAGATTGCTAACAGATTCTGTAATATTTAACAATGTTAGCAAACTGCTGTCAGAAACCTGACAGAATCTGTTGACATTTTGTGCCAGCAGACTGGCAGCAGAAATTAAGCAGATCCTGCCATCAAATTGTGTCGCGCAGGTCCTGCTCGCTTTCTGCTGCCAATCAATCTGATGGTAGACTGCAGCAGGGTCTACTTGATTTCTACTGCCAATCTGCTGATACAGAATGTCAACAGATTCTGTCAGCAGTTTGCTAACATTGTCAGATATTACAGAATCTGTTAGCAATCTATTAGCTTTCTAACATCAGAAATTTATAACAGACTTTGCGCATAATCTGTCCTTTCAGATTTTGACTATCGGGGTAGTTATTGTATTTGCAGTTCATTCATTTCTGTAAAAGTAGAAAGAAATTTGATCCATTGACTCATAATTTTTTGTCTTGTTATTACATTTATTATTTCATGAATGCAACGGGAAACTATTGACTGACAACCATATTAATTTTTCCAATATCCATCTGAT